TTTTTTTTTTTTTTTTTTTTTTAAGTCGAGCAGCTTTTCCGAAGGTGTTTATAACCACTCCCTTCATATTTTCATCTTTGTCGTTGAATCATATTTATCACTAGTGTACAGGAAATTTATGCACATTCTTTGGAGCTTAATTCTTTTTGTAGGTTATTATGCACAAGCCGTACAATCATAAAGCCGACGTTTTTAGCTTTGGGATTGTGCTGTGGGAGCTTCTCGCTGGAAAGGTTTCTATAATTTCGTTACCATTTTGCTCTACTTTCCTTATGCAATCGAACTTGTACAAACCAAATATGTTCATTTATTTATAAATTCCAGGTTCCATACGCACACTTGACCCCCTTGCAGGCAGCAGTGGGCGTAGTTCAGGAGGTAAATTTCCATTTTAAAAAAGAATTTTTCATATTTTACATATCGTAATATGTTCTACTAGTATCTTGTAAAGCTACAAATCGCCCCTCGATATTTGTATTTTATTTTTTTTGGAAAAGCACAAACAAGTATTAGTGGGATACTGATACTATTGCTAATTGTTCTTCCAATGATTATGTCAATTTTAACGATAGTAACTGGTTCATGTATTAGGGTCTAAGGCCAAAGATACCAAGGCATACTCATCCTTCGGTTGTGGAATTGCTCGAGAGATGCTGGCAGCAAGAACCGTCTCTAAGGCCCGACTTCTCTGAAATTACAGGGATTTTGCAACACATGGCCAAAAAGGTATCAGGCCTACTCGGGGGTTTGCTGTTTCTACCTACGCACCTGGGAAAACAAACAAACAAACAAACAAACAAACACAAAAATGCCATTTTTTAAGCAGAAGAAAGAAGTAAAGAATGAATAAACTTTTGTTACTCTTTTAAGCTGAATTCTTGGTATTTTTTTCCCTTTTAAACAGATTTTGGAAGAAGAGAGGACTACCAAAAGGAGAAATCTGGGAGAACCATCTCAACTCGCAAAGGAATGCGCTGTAAAAATGCAAGAAAAATGAAAATGTGGTACGAGCTGTCTCTGTGCGTATAAGTAATTTTCTATCGATCAGTGTGTATGTCGGGAGGTAAAACTGTGAAAGGGAATAGGCTCCAAGGTGAAGAGATGAACTTAAGAGGCATATCTAACACCAACATAGTACATAACATGCTTGTTCTAATATACACAAGACAAGATTGTAAAGTTTGTTCTAGGTTTCTATTTGACCCGAGATCAAAGATCCAATCGATTTTTTGTCCCTTTACGATGGCTCGGTTATAACTGCAAGTTCCTTCATGTAATTTGGTTGGATCCAAATGGGTTAAAATTTTATATTTGACATATTAACCTTAAAATTGTATAACTATTATTAGTACTCTTAGTTAAGATTTTTATCTATTTTTTTATTAATAATTTATTACCATAATTTTCTTAATTCTTTGTTTTAAAGTTGGAAAATTTTGGTAATATTTTTAAAACGAAATTTATTTTGTAACTAATACTATTAAGTCTCTAAAACGACAGTTAGAGACGGATATAGAATATTTTGCTAATATTTTTGAAACGAAATTTAACTTGTAAATAATATTAAGTCTTTAAAATGATACCAGTTAAAGATAGATGCAGTATATATTATTTTAATAATTTTTGGTACAATATTTGATAATGATTTTTTATACAATATTTAATACATCAGAATTAATATTTTTACATTTATAATAATACATATTGTCAAACTTTTCACATGTTGACTTAGAGCATCTTCAAAATATTGTTGTGGTAAACGTAAATTACATGCCACATCAACTCATTTAGTAATATCACTACTTTTCATCCTCCAATGTATAATGTAATCACGAATGTTGTGATGATGTGGACATAATTAATATCCACAATGTAGAGAAGAATGTGGTTCATTCACCTTCTCTTTTTTTTTCATCGGTAAAAGTAAATTTATAGATCATGGTGTTCGAACGACCGACAGACGACCTACAAAAGCGTAGTGTCTACACTCTAGCTAGCAAATGAAGAGAAAAGGGAGAATTATTCTTGCCATTTAAAACATTTAATTATTTAATTATTTTTTCTTCATTCTTATTAAATTATAATATTTAGTATGTAGATAGACTGTATTGTGCATTGGAGGTGATTTTTTAAATTTATAGTTGTCAATTTAACATTTTTCCTACATGGTTCACACTATTTAATTTATTGACCTTTGTCATAATTTATCTATAACAAAATTAGAGCATCGAAGATGCTCTTAAGTGACGGATATTTCCATCCTGTTAACACACACACACACATACAGAATGAAAGAAATAAGAGTGAATGATAGTCCTTGAATGTGATATATCAACGCTTTAGACACAGTCAAATAGTCTAGCTTTTGTCAAACACGCGGTGACATTTCTGTAAATAAGTGGACTTTTGATTTTTCACATAAGGTATTAGTCATTACACATAATGTACTGTTACAATGAGCGGAGATCGGAGGGGTTTTCGTTTCGATATATGGCAAGTGCCGACATTCGATGGTTCTGCACGGAGTCCAGCACGGCGGCGGTGTTTGTGGTGGCTGGCGGCGAGTAGCAGCGCTTATAACCCTTTATACTAAACTATATTATTATATTCTAAATAAATCCTTTAAAAATGATATAAGAATAAAAAATAGTATTATGAAAGAGTGTCCATCTTTCGGGGTTGAATGGAGTACCAAACCGAATTCCCATTACGCTATCTATTGGGCTATGAGCGTCGATCAGATGACGGGCCAGATTGAGCCCTAAAACAAAATTGTCCTAAATTCCAATTATAAAAGACCAGCTGTAGTGAAGATTAATTAAGAATAGGTCATGCGCTGCTAATGATATATAACCATTTTATAAGTGTTGATAATTATGATCAAATCAATTGTTTCACAAAATAAATTAAGCATATGATCAGTAGGCAGTTTATTTTTAGTTGGATGATTAGCTTCCCCCCAAAAAAAAAAAGATAGAGAGATTCCAGGACCACGGTCCAATTGTGCAAATTGAGCAATTGGAATCGGATCGTTTATATAATCAAATTCTTGGAAGAATTATAGGGAAATGCTAAAGTTCCGTTACGGTATCATTCCATCAGGATTTATAACGTTAGAGATAGTGTATCTAACAGTTACAAACTCGACGAAATGGTTCCGTAGCATCTTCCAAAATTATAAGAATCTCACTTTATATGAGTGTGAAAAGAATCAATCTCTATATAACATACTCTACATCAAGTAATGTTTGGTGGAATGATTTGTACCTGAAGAATGTCAAATATAATTTTGACAAGGACTTGCAATACACTAGAGAATTAATTGAAGTTGTACGCATCTATCTAAAATTTAGCACACACACACTTTGAATCCTTTTTGTTGTGGTACACCCTCTCATAAGACCTTTGTGGCTTTGTCCTTGGCAGAGGTTGTGGTATGTAAGCATCTGAATATTTAACTCTTTAATTTATATGAATTTATACATGAAAGAGGGAGCATTCTCGCAATCTTATGTTCTAAACTTAATTCTTTTTTTCTTTTTTTTTTTCTTTTTTTTTTTAATTTAATTTCCAATTATATTTTTTTCAATGAGCAATTCAAACACTCCGAAATGTTTTTTTTTTCCTTTTTTTTTCATGAAAAGGAATGGGTAGACACCACTTTAGAAAATTTTGGCAAATGCTATTTCGTGTAAAAACGAGAGAAAAAACGGATGTGGTCCCACGCAGATGAAAAGTACAAAGACAGGGAAAGCCAGATGAAGTCCAAACGAGGTTCACTACAAGAAAGCACTTCAATTCCAACAGCAAAAATTTATGTTGGAAATACTATATTCCAACAAACTTTTAATGTTATGTTGGAATAAGTGTTAGATGGATGAAGAATTCCAACGGATTTTTTCCGTTGGAATAGCTGCAGGAATTTATTTCCATAGGATTTTCCTTTAGATTTTAGCTATTCCAATGGTCGTTTTTCCCACGATTTTTTATACGTAGGAATATCCGTTGGAATAGTTATTCCAACGGAAAATATAAAGAATTCCAACAAAAAAATTTCGTTGGAATGTAAGAATTTTTTTTTTTGTAGTGGTTCCATTCCGAAACCAATTGGTGGAAGGAGGAGTAGTCCAATAAGCTTATAAGTTAGGTCTATTTTCCCTATATAAACGATGTGTGACAACTCACAAGTGAATATTCTAAGGCCTATTTTTCTCGTCGGGAAAATTTCATTAGAGGGCTCAATTTTTAGATATTCTATCATGTTAAGGCTCCAATTATTATCTTTCTCAACACAAGATCTCAAATTTTATGTATTTTCAGTTAAGGGCTCCCATTTATCTATTAATTCTCAAATTAAGGCTTATTATTAACACTGTTAATTAACAGTTGAATTAGACGTGATATTACTTTATTTTTTTTTTTTTTAAAAAAAAAGTGCATACGCAGATTTTTGTTACTCTCAAAACCTCTGTCCTCTCAATTTCAATCCACGGTACTGAAAACTTCTGATTGCGAGCATAGGAAGGAATAGCAACACAGATCAACATGCTTCATTTTCATATCACTAAATTCCCATTTCTTTTCACGGCTTTGCAATGTTTAACTTTAATTTATCTTGATGGACAACAATGAACTTGTGATTTCGTGCCGGTGGCCGAGCTGGGGAGGCAGACGGCCAGCGTGAATGCCATCTCGTGGGCCCAAGAGACAAGCAGGCCCTGCTGTGGGAGCTTACCACGGTTGCCGAGCCCAACGGGGATTGGCTCGATGCTGGTGTACTCGGCGGGTGCCGAGATTAATCGAAGACGAGGAGGCTCTGCTGTGGGAGTTGCCCACGGTTGTCGGGCCCAACAGGATTGACCCGATGTTGGTGTACTCAACAGGTGCCGAGATTAATTGACGACATGTTGTCGGAGCTTCCCACGGTTTTTGGGTCCAACGGGATTGACTCGCTGGTGTACTTGGCAAGTGTCGAGATTAATCAGCTGCAGTGGTCGGCGACCCAGCACGATTGGATCGCGATTGCATTTGGGAAACGAAGTAGATGCTCAAGGTTTGGAGTGTAATGCTTTTGCAGGGTGTGGTGTTGTTTCAGTCTTTCGACGATGGGAGTATATGAAGTTGAGCCTTGTTATAATATATCTTGAGGCATTGGATAGATGTTGTTGACTGTCCCTTAAAGTCTGATTATGTGTTCTGTAAGATTATTTTTTACTTGGGCCTAAAGGTTACATGTTTTCATTTCTTTGTGAGCAGGTGTTATTATCTTTTTACTTTCTTTGTTTCCATATAAGATAATGTTCGATAATGGCACGTTTTGTTGGTGAACATGGTGCTCAGTTGGTTTTCGGCATTTTCTTCAGTTGAGAATATTAGATCTTTGTTCCAGGACGTGCGTTTTGTTTCTAGTTTAGTGATATGAAAATGAAGCATGTTGATGTTCTCATAAAATTTGAACAAGTTCATCATTTGATGGTAGAAGTGATGCAGACTTTGATATGTATGATTACCTTGTGACATGAAAGTTATAGCAACACAGTTGGGGTTTTGAGAGTAAACAAAGAGAATTGTTCGTGTTCTTTCTTTCAAAAAATAAGAAAAAAGAAATATCTTGTCTAATTTAACTGTTAATTAACAGTGTTAATAATAAATCTTAATTTGAGAAATAAAAGATAAATGTGAGCCCTCAACTGAAAGTACATAAAATTTGAGATCCTTTGTTGAGAAAGATAATAATTGGAGCCTTAACATGATAGAATACCTAAAAATTGAGCCCTCTAATGGAATTTTCCCTTTTCTCGTGCGATTACGTATCCCATTTTTCCCAGCTCAGTTGGTCTTGGGTTGCCGGCTACGTATATAGGCTTGAGCTTTTTACGAAGGACTTATAAGTGATATTCTAACATTTCGGAAAACCAAAGTTACAATAAGAATTTCAATTTCATACTACATGCTTTAAAATGTGAAGTATTTGAGTTACCTTCTAATGGTAGCTAT